GTGAGAAAGTAAATAACTGGTGAAGAGCAAAGCAAGAGCTCCGCGGTATAAGTAAACTCACAAAAAAAAAAATCATACCGTATTCTTTCCAGCCATTGCCTGAACTGACGGTGGACAAGGAACATTCACCGGCACAAAACTGACGCATAATGCAAGCAGTGGGCGCTGCGCCAAAATGGAGAACTTAGTAAACACAACTGACAGCTATACAGTGGCCTATGAATATTACTTCGACTATGTGGATCCGGTCTCATTTGATGAAAGCGAACTTAAGGCCAACAAATGTGAGTAGTTGATAGTATGTGTTCATAGGTTACACGGCTCTCATTTGCTTTTGCTTTTCCATATAACAATATTTTAGCTTGCAAGCTCTCACGGGCAGGGCCCTCCTTACCATCTTGTCTTGATTTGTATTGTAACTGTAATGTCTTCCTTATATTGTAAAGCTCTGCGCACACTGTCGGCGCGATATAAATCCTGTATAATAATAATTTTCCATAGACATTAAATAAAATATAAAAGAAACAACAAAGTGGGCCAAGTAGACCCAACAGCGAAGTGGAGAGAGAATATTCAAATAAGTTACACATTAGTACATTAGAAAGACAGTAGACTTATACAGAACCAGGTTGTTAGATCATAGAACTTTATGCAGATGAAAAATAAAACCTAATTGTTTCCAACCAACAAAATCATCCAAACCAATGTCTGTCCTTTGGCCCCAAATCTCTCCGTCCCTCATTTTTTTCCCAGTTCTCCCAATGTTCTCCTGAAGAAGGTCACGAAACACAGTAATCCTGGAACAGCTTCATTATCTGGTTGATGATAAGATTGTTTTAAGCTTTATGAAATATATACATTATGAGAGAGTATTGCCTCCGAGGGGGGTGTTATTGAGCATAATTTGTATGAGCTGCTTTTTACATATATGTTCTAATGAATTATTATTGAAGTATAATAAAATATATACTTTTTATTACATCAATGTTGTGTGAGTAAGGCTCCATAAGTTTTTTTCTTGTGTACAAGGGATGTAGGTACCTCCCAAATTGGCCAATTGACCTTCCCACACATAATAAAACATTTTTTAATCTACATTTTTCATGTGTCCCTCATTTGGTCCCAGTTCTCTCCGTCCCTCATTTGTTACCAAATCCCTCCATCCCTCATTTTATCACTATCTCCTCTGTCCTGCATTTCATCCCAATTTCCTCTGTCACTTGTATGGTCCCAAATCCCTCTGTCCTTCATCCCACCTCTGTCCCTCAATTTGTCCCAATTCCTTCTGTCCCTCAATTTGTCCCAATTCCTTCTGTCCCTCAATTTGATATGTCTTATTGTTTTAAAAACTGTTGTTTCTGTGTATAGTTTGTAATATTATATATGTACATGAGGCAGCCATATTTAAAGGAGAACTATGAAGTGAGTGAAAATCAGTCATCCTCATAGTTCGAGCCGACGTGTAACAATTAAACTGTCACACATCGGCTCAATAGATCAGGAAGTGAGCGAACGTTTACCGTCGCTCGCTCACTTCTCGATCATCTCCCTACAGAGAGCGGTCACTGTCAGTCACGGCTCCCTGCAGGGATTCCCCCTCCCCGATCCTCCAGCGCTGAGTGGAGTAACGGACAGGGGAGGGGGCGGGCACAGCTGGCTCTGCCTCTAGATAGGCAGAGCCAGTTGTCACTCACGCAGCTGGGTGGATCTCGACTGTATTGTCGGGATCCATTCCGGCTGCGGCGGTCTTAGTATACCGTGAGCTGTAGCTCGCTATATACTGAGCTTTGGGTCACGGGGGGAGGTTAATATATGTCCTCCTGTGACCCTTAAGAGAACTATGCTTTTAATCCTGATCCAACATGATCAGGTCCGTTTTTCCCAGCCTTGCATTGAGTAACATCGGGTTTCCGATCAGGACCACCTGAAAGACTGACAGGCAGACCTTAATGGAAAGCCCGTGTGAAAGGGGACTTGTACTACATTCAGAACACACTACGACCTTCGGACTTGCAGGTCAATAAAAAAAAGGTTTCCGAAAATGATGTAAAATACTCGATCATGGCCTTTCTGTGTTTTCAGAGCATAAACCAAGCAAAGTGCCTTGTGCTGAATCCTGGTTGTGTGACATAAATAAGGCACGGGAGCCAAAGCAGCAAGTGCTAATTATACCAATGTTAGCTACACTTAGAAAATTACATATACATGAAACATTAGGTTAAAATGCAAAGAGAATCACATCTACAGGTAATATATATATATATAGTAACATGATTACAAATTCAGCATAAATGATTACAATGAATTTTACTAAGAACATAATTATATACAAAATATGATTGCTCAAATTGGTAAATCTAGAATTACATAATTAGAGAGGGTTTAAAATGTAACAACATGAATATTTTAGTACTGTAATTATATATAAGTGTACAAGAAGCAACACAAACAGGAAATGGTGTCTGTATTATACACTGTATAAATGTATATGAGAGCACAAAAATAATATACAAATGATACAGTATGTATAATGCATACTACATGAGTCTATGTAAGTAGTAACCATGACATATCAAGTGCAATGTATACTGAATGTAAAAACTATGGAGAATTTAGACAAAATATTTATTGAAAGTGGAACTTAACCAACCAAGTGTATGGACTCCCAAGACAGTTACTTTTAAGGCATGGCAATGTCAAGGTCACCAATGTGCTTATTTCAGCTCTCCACCAAATTTGAAGCCCTCAAATGGCTGGTGTCATAGCTGATCACGTGTGCAGCACCATGGCCATTGCAATCCAAATGAGGTTAAGATGGCGGCTGGCCCCATCCTTAGCCTGCATTCACACCTAGGTGTTCACGTTTTTGTGCACGTTTTCATCTACAGTATTTTAGATGCACGCACATGAAGGCGCACGTCTTGGCTGGCAGATCAGACATTGCGGTCAATGGGGAAACGCGTGTAAAAAGGCGAACCAAAATATGCAAAACGCTTGTGTCGTACGTTTTTCAGGGTTTTCTATTAAAGTCTATGGGGCCAAATGTGCTGCAAAACACCCCAAAGAAGCTCAGGCACAGGCGTTTTGCAGCTTGCGACAAAATGCCTAGGTGTGAATGGGGACTAAAGGATAAGCTGTTGTAGTTCCACTTTAAATAAGAGTTTTCCCCAGGAATGTCCAAGTTTCTTGAATCTCATGAACAGGGGATGTGCCATGTATCCAGCAGTATATTTCCTGATGGCTTCCACCCTTTACCATGTGTGAGATTTTGCTATGTACGGATGAGCTGCACAAGTTCAACTATACTCATTTCACCACAAAATTACTGTTTTAGAAATGTTACCTATTGCAAAGTCTTATTTTTGCTTTATGAGCTGCTAAGGGGAAACTTACTTGGTTAGCTCTAGTGTGTGTGTGTGTGTGTGTGTGTGTGTGTGTGTGTGTGTGTGTGTGTGTGTGTGGGTGTGTTTTTATATTCTAAGTATTCTTTGTCTTTGTGGGGGTTTTTTAAACTTGTTTTATGTGTATTTGATCATTATTTGTATACTGTCACTTCAATCTTTTTGTACTTTACTCCTTTCTTTCTTTTTTGCTGTTTTTTTTCCTCTGTGGAAAAAAAAATCCCATAAAATAATGAGGCCAGTTTAGTGCCTTTTGCCAAAAACACACAAGTGCAGGATAGTTGAAAGAAGAGTTACAATTTGATCCTGTTGAGCCCTGGCATTGTCATCTTGGGATATGCCCAATGTGCCATCAGGGAAGAAAAAATCCATTGATGGAAATCCTGGTCATTCAGTATATTCAGGTAGGAGGCTGACCTCATTTTTTGGGGACATAACATTGCTGTACCTAGACCTGACCAACTGAAGATCATATCACTTATCCAATGGAAAGCTCTTACCTATTTGTTTTTTTTTTGGACAGGCAGTGTAGATTAAACAGAACAGGACCCAGTACAGAGCCTTGTGGCACACCACTAGTGAGTGGTCCCTGTTCAGAATAAACCCCATTTACAACCACACTCTGATATCTATCCTTTAGCCAATTACATATTTACTGAACCACCCAAGGATTAGGTTCTAGCTTGTACAACTGTTCATGAGATCATTATATGGAACCGTATTAAATGCTTTGCTAAAATTAAGACAGACTATGTCCACATCACCAGCCTGGTCCAAATTATTTTCGATATCATCAAAAAATTAAATCAGATTTGTCCCTCATGATCTGACCTCAGTAATGCCATGCTGCATTGGACTCAGAGAGTTGTGTTTTTTTTTTTTTTTAAATTATCATTGATCCTTCTTTTTAGGAGTAATTCCATTATTTTACTAATACAGGTTTTTTTTTTTTTTTTAAGAGCCTGTGGAACGTGCATCGAAAAACAACTTCCCCCTGTGAACAAAAAAAGTGAACCGTGAAATCACAGCACACAAAAACGTGCACAAGGGTGCTTGGTCCTTCAATAAAGAAGGGACCTCGAATTCCCGATCCCCGGGGCGCAAAGCTCCTGACAGGGGTTGAGATACTATGGTCCCAATCCTTTGGGCACCTGCCGAAACAGGTCCCACATAGTACTAGGTAGGGCACTCTCCCGAAGAGAGAACCCCTGGTTGGGAGGAGGCAGAGAACCCTATATTAGGGCACAGAACCTCCTCCCCTGCATCGGGAATAGGCCCCGAAGGTACATGCACCCTAAGCAATCTGTGGGTCATATCGAAAAAAATTAAAAAGTGCCAAATCGTGCATGAGGTGCAAGAAATAGAGTGCTAGTGCACCACGCTGACAGGCCCTAGGGGCCAGAGTGCAAAAATATTGCCCCGGACTAGCCATAAGGCCTGTCTCGGAGGCGAAGTGCAGAAAATGCAATGTGGTGTGTGTCCATGTGCACAGTGAGTCATGTGGGGTCCCACACCCAAGTGACTTTCTGAGCACCCCTGGGACGCCACCCCCAGGGGGCACAACACCACAGGCTCTGCCGCCTCCCAACCCTCCAGCCAGACCTTGTGGTTCTCCGCTCACATCAGAAGGTAGTGTCTTCAGGGGCCCTCCCACTGTCTAGGGTCTACCCGATACTCAGGGCCTGACGCAACTAGCAGTGGACCGAACCCCATCCAACACCCACCTTTACGTTAGAGGGTACTAGGACGCATCCACCCCTTTCCATAGGTGGCAGCATCCTTTCCCCTCCAACAACTGATAAGAACAGATACTACACTTGATCTTAGCCAAAAGGCTGAGAAGCGATACTAATACAGGTGTTAGACTCACTGGCCTGTAGTTGCATCTTCCTTGTTACCCTTCTTATTCATAGGTACAATATTAGCGATCTACCAGTCATGGGGAATTTCTCCTGTTAGAAGAGATTGATTAAAAAAGATCAAATAATGGTCCAAGAATTACACCCCAAAGGTCTCTTAGAACTCTGGGATGAAAACCATCGGGACCCTATTGCTGTATTAAGCTGTAAACTCACTGTACTCTATCTATGGAGGAGCAGCGTTGTCATCCTTGGACAGGAAGTGTAAGGAATACAGAACACCTCCTCTTCCTCTCATCTCCATAATATGGGGGTGTTCTGTAGTTTAAAAAGTGAACTGAGCAGGGCTAATAACGATACTTAAGAGTTCAGTGCAGCACAAGCATGATCACTGTAGATCCCTGGCAGGATCAACAGCACTTACCTAACAGATATAACAAAACACTTTCTATAGTATATTTAACAGACCAAAAGAAAGCAAAGATAAGATCATTGTTCTGCTTTAGAGACATTTTAACATAAATAACGATTTACTGGAAGCGTCCATTGTGATGGAGGGCCATCACCTCGCTGGCAGTGATGTTGAAGAGGTTCTTCGCAATCGCTTCTCTGGGATCAGCCTCCATCAGAACATCATTTAGCTTGACAACAGATGCCCTTTAAATCGCCACAGAGCTCAGGCTCGGTGCTATAGTTGGGACCACAAAGGGGATTCACCCTTCTTTCTTTTTTTTTCTAACTTTGTAACTTAGAGCTTGTTTACTTTACTGGAGTGACTGTCAGTTCTGAAAAAGTGACAGATTGAAAGAGAAGACTGACCATGACATCACTCATTTCCATGTGTTTTATGTGTTTGCAGATTCCATTGTTATTGCGGTCTGGGTTGGCCTTGCTGCTTTTGCTGTGCTCCTTTTTCTCTGTTTGTTCTACATATCCAGGACAGACCTTCCTCGATCTAAGTAAGTTGGCACAGCAGCTTTCCAAGTGCAAAGTGCAAGTTCTTTACATTTTACCCACTTAATTGTGGCTACAGCAGGGAAGGGCTTAAGCCCCTATTGGGTTTCTACAGCAGGGTAGATTCCCATTTGGGAGATTTCTTCTAACTTCCTGTCCCCTTGACCACTATCACCAGTATCCAAACTAAAGAAAGACCTGCTTTGTATAGCAGACCCTTCCCTGCTATACAAAAAAAATTGAAATATTTAATTGCCCTTTTTATCGTGGGAGAGATTTACCCTAATTTCCTGTCCTGGTGAACACCAGTGAGGACAATAATAGTAATACAAATCCGACAGAAGTTCCCTTCCCTAACCTACCTGAAAGCAAGAAAAAAAACAAAAAACGGGTGGTGTTCCACCTTAACGGCCGTGACACAAATCTAGTGTATGAGGACTGCACTCTAATCTGGATCTATTGGCTGCAAACCAGCTGCCTTTGTGCTGTTCTATGACAATCCATTCTCCTTAAAACACAATGGGATCAATCTACTAAGCTATACCTGCTGTACCAATCATTATTTTTAGCCATGTTACAGATATCATGAGTTCTCGCTGATGAAAATAGTGGTCATAATGGCAAATTAAAAACATTATAGCTTAGTGAACTGAGCCTAATGTTTGACATTGGTCAAGTGGAAGGAAGGTACGCATAGTGCTGCTTCCAAGAACGATGGGTTAGGTTTGGGTCCACCACTACCATGAGTTTCACAGGGAATCTGCAGGATGTGCAAATGTTTGGCCTACAAATTGCAGGTTTGCCACCAGTAATAAGGAACCACATATAATGCGATCTATAGCCTTGTGTCCTTGGTTATCCAAGTCACAAGAGCCAATGATTTAGAGGAATAGATAACATGGGTCCCTTACTATGAAAGGAGGGGCCATATCAGCCATATTGTCAATGTATGTTAGAGCTGTTAGGAACAGCTGATCATTCTAAATAGGGAGAGATGCTGTTTATTTAATGATTTTACCTTTGGCATTGGTATATGCCCCCATAGCAGTGCCAGGCTTCCAATGCATTTTGTTTGACAATAGCTTGCTTAATATCCCTACAAATAGCCAGAATTTTTTTTTTTTAAAAAAACAAGGTTCCCATCGATAGACTTTAATGGCTTTCATCTCAATGTTGGCAAACTTCAAGAAATATTTGAAAACTGTTGGCTAACTGAACCCAGGCAGATTTTCTCATCCCTAGGCACTTGGGTGCATTTGACCTCACAACAGATGCAGTCTGGATGGATGGATGGATTGCACATTGCTTATATAGATACTGTAGTTTAAGACTAAAAAGCCCTTTCCGGTCAGCTATTGCAGCGTTTTTCAACCACTGTGCCGCGAGATATTTTCGGGTGTGCCGTCAATAAATCGTTAATTTCTTTGATCGATCAAAATTATTTTGATCGATCAAAGTTACTCACCTCTCCGCCGGCTTCCGGGTCTTCTGTCGAGAGGCATAACACTCCAGACTAAGGACAGCCATAGTGATGTGACCTCAAGTTCTGAGCCAATGTCAGAAACAGGCAGTGAACCTCACAACTACAGATGCAGGAATCACAGGAGTCTATAAATTAAATACTGTTGTCATGATTGCAAGGAAGATGTATTTGAATTGTTTTTGCATTAAAAAAAAAAAAACCAAGTGGTTTTACACTAAAAAAAAAAAAGGCAGATTTAATGGACAACTTGGTCTTTTCTACCTTCTTGTTCTTTTTTTCTTTAGTTAAGCATAGGGTGTCAGTTTAGTCATTAAACTGCCTGCAGGCATACATCTTCACATGCTCCCCGAGAGCCTTGGTGCCCAGGAATTCTAGAATGTGATTCTTAACATACACGGAGACAGCAGAGCTACTTTACAGCTATTGCGGCCTTCATTAAAGTGGAATTCCCACATTTAGCTGGGATTCCAGATTTTTTTTATTGCTGTCTTCTATGTGGGGAGATTTGTCCCCACTTCCTGTCCTAGAACTACAACATAAAATCTTCTAAAAAATACAAAGAATTTCCACCTTTGATAGCTGTCCGTGGAACTTGGGTCCCCATTGAATTCCTTTCCTTTACTGATGACAACTGTAAAGCTTTGGATCAGTCCTCATTTAAGTGGCCACAAAGTGAGAATAAATTGGCACCAGCAACAATAAAAACAATGGAAGGGCTATTCACAAACGGGAGAAGAGAAGTGAACAATCTAGGCCAGAATAGCCGATTTGGAAAAATTCTCCCATTCAGCTCACTTTCCAGTTCAGCTATGTTGTCCTAGATTGTTCCCTTCTCCAAACTCTTCACCCTTTTTTGAATAGCCCTGTAGATGTTTAATGAGAATCAGAGCGCTGTACCAAAGATATGAATCCAAATGTACTTCTTTCATCGCAGAAGTCCAAAAATAGCAAAGACAAGCGAACACATGTCGTGCGCTATGCTGAGGAATGCTTTAACAATAAAGGAGTCAGTTATTTCAGAGTCGATTTACCATTTATTAAGACAACAAGCAAGAGTAAGCCCTGATGAAGGCGGAGACTTTATACCCCCCATAATGGGTTGGCCCATCCTCTATTATCTTTGGACTAACGCAATAAAATAAAAATAACTATTTTGGATGACATCAAGCTGATCTCCATTACATGCATATCAAAACGTGGTTCGACATTCCCTTTAAGACACATTACGGGCAGAGAGTCGCAATGTAATGGTCCATTGTATGTTGAATTGTTTTCCATTCATCCAAAAAGTCAGCTGCGAATAGAATAAGACGATCCTTTTAATTCATTTGAGTTCTCCCAGCCTTTAAAACCATTTATCATGCAGATCCATAACATACGGACAGCTGGAGATAAGTGAAAATGACACTGTGACTGTCGGTCTTTCTGGGATGTAGCTGTTCTCAATCAAGGAACTTTATATAGAATATATTATGATGATTTATTGGCTGTGCCTAGCGCACAGACTGCGGATACTAAAGCGTTCCACCAGCAGGGAGTGTAATCTGCGAGTTTAACAGGCTTGGGCTGTACTAAATCTGCTCATACAAACTTCCATACTAGTGAAGGGTGACTATTTTTAGGATCTGTGCTGATGGGCTTTTGTCAATGCCAGAACTCCTTCTCTTCCCATACAAGTCTATGGGAATGCAAGATAACATGCAGGTTAGAAGGAGGGGAGCCAGAGGTCCAGAGCACCTGCAGTTGAGCAGCCTTGGGTTACACAGAATATTGTGATGTGTGTATGTCATAGTAGCCAACAATCCCCAGAACAACAAGAGTTAAACATTTCTGCAGGAGGACAGCACACCAGCACACAAAGTTCTTCATGCAACTTTAGCAATGAGTGGCTGTAAAGGTGGGTTTGACTTTAAAGCTGAGCTACCCTTGCAGTGGGGCTTTTCCTGCACAGCAAGGGTTAAATGCTCTTTTTGTCTAGGGTACCATTGACTTGCCTTATTCCTCATCTCCCATAGGCTTCCTCCTCTCCATGCGACTGGTCCCCCGAAGCCACCTCTCTTTGGTGCTCAGTCAGTCGCATTCCAATGGCATCACTCATAATGCAGGACCAGCATCCTGCATTGTAAGTGAGGACAGCGAGGGCCCACCCATAACCCAGAATGTCAAAGGGAAAAGGAAATCGGGCTGCTGGGGGAACATAAGAGCACACTGGGGCATCCAGTATATACTTTTTGGAGGAAAATAAGCAGAGCAAGAAAAACAAAAAACCAAGCAGGGTGTGTGGCAACAGGCTTTTGATAGCTTCCAAAAAGCTTCCAAAATGCTTCTCTCCCTATGCGAGTCTATGGTAATGCAAAAGCAGCTCAAAGCAGGTCAATTGCAAGTCAACTGCAGCTTGAATGCACCTGCAATTGATTCTGAATGATCTCAGAAGTGCACTGCATTTACCTGTTCACAATGGCCCTGAACATCAAAGATTAGGGACCCAGTGTATTTGGTCATAGGTCCCTGTCACATGACACTTACATTTTTGCTGTTTAAACAGATATACATCAAGAAGAAAACATCTGCAAAATACAAATGGGAACCTGGAGGACCCAGAAGAAAGAGCGACACAACTAATTTATGACCAGTGAAAACACTCCCATTATTTGTCGAAAAATAAAACCTGCTTCGACGCCAAAAACCAAAGTTCCAGCTTCATTCTTTTGTAGATTCATGTAGAAGTCACCTAGAATTCTCCAGGTGAAGATCTTCTGATCCAAGGATGACCGTCAACCAGCATTCCTAGTGATCCATGGTGGTACTACGTAGTGGTTTAACGTGTGTGGGCTGTATTTGTGACATGTCGGTACTTGGCTCAGTAACAATGCAGATGAGATCAGTGCTGTGCACAAGGTGAGGCGTGTGTCCTGCAATGCCAACAGTGGACGGGATAATTATTTGCTCTCCCAGCACTGCTACAGATTTGTGGAGTATACAAATTGCAGAATTGTGAACTGAAGCGCCACACTCCCATTTAAGTCCAGATATACCTTTAGTTAATGTCAGGTTGAGGGGACAGTACAGAAATAGCCAGCGTTATATCGGGGGCTCATGTAAATACCCTAAGGGTTTACTAGGGGAGAACATGTATCAGGACTGTGCTAAAACTGCACTGACAGAATATGAAGGCTGCCATTACCGACTAGGCTTTGAAATGTTAGGCACCTGACCTTCTTTGACCTCATACCTTCTATGTTACTGATGCAGAACAAGCATGCAGCTAGTGGGTCAGGGGAATTTAGAATGGCTCCATATCCATGAGGGGATAGAGATTACATCAACATAACAGCCATACAACTAGCAGCAATGGCAGCCTACATAACCTCTAGTAATGGCTTCCATTATGCCCAATGCAGACTGCTGGGAAAAGCAATGATACAATCCTAGGAGCGGGGGGCATTGTACAGAAACAGGCACATGAAAAGGATCCACTTGGTGCAAACTTTATTACTAAGCCATTAAATACCGCACACTACAGCACGGCTAATTGTCTCCTTGGACTGCTTTCCTGGTCTACAAAGTCAGAATCAGGAACTTGCACCGGTTGCATTTAAAAAACAAAATCATTTAATAATGGGATAATGAATACAGAGATATATTATTTTGTGTCTTTTAGATCTTCCTGACGTTAACATTTAGTTACAAGACAACTGCATTTGTAGCACATTGGAAGCTGAAACGGAAATCACATCGCCCATTCCAACTGGAAATGAGAGTTCAGTGGTTCGTAACGTGGGAAGGGGGGGACAACGATTTCACATAACTGCATTCAGTAAAACATCTCTAAAATCAGATCCTGCTCTAAATAGTGAACACAGCTTCTCAGTCCTCTCATGTACATACATACAGAGTATCAGTACAAAACCTGAATAATATAAAAAGTAACCATAGATGTGTAAAAATATCTATAAACGTGGTATTCTAACCCAATGTCCGTGTCTCAAGGTATAAAATATACCGTACACTATACAGAATGTCTGTTTACTGTGTAGGCAACTCTGGCCCTCCAGCTGTTGTGGTCTATAAGTCCCATGAGGCATTACAAGACTGACAGTTACAGGCATGACTCCCAGAGGTATGTTGGGATTTGTAGTTAAAGCACAGCTGGAGGGCCAGAGTTGCCCACCCCTGGTGTAGGCCATTGGTTAGTGGATCTCTGCAACCTTCCATGCTGCTTGTAACATTATCTCTGCAGGAATTTAGAACCAATTCGACTGAGTGCCTGCAGCATTGGACTTAACTAAACATAAGAGGTTGTCCAACTGAATTCCTCATCATACATGTGGTTACCCCTCACTCATTATATGTAAATTGTGATCCTGAACTAAAAACCTGACTGAAGGCTTAAAAGAGCACACAGGCTTAGCCCAATATCCTTGTCACAAGTTCACAGAGCCCCACAGGTTCAGGGTTTGGAATTCTGGGTAAAACAGGTTTACAGTAAATGAGGTCTGCAGTCAAGGAAGGGTGACGACAGACATCAACTCTTAGAAACAGCAGCAGAAATGTCTCTACAGAGGGACACCATGGCCTCCTGCTCCTCCTTCCTCTTCTTCCGTGGGGTCTTTTCTTTCGAACTTGAAATGTCCAGGTCGGCTCCTTCACAGACCATTTTTACATAGGCGTTAAACATAACAGGTGATTTTGCGCCCAGCCACATATCGCTGATGTAGAGAGATGCCAAGAGACTGGCGGCAGCTGTAGGAGGAATAACGAGATATCAGATTATGTGCAATTTGTTTTATTAGATATATATATATATAGAACTTATCAACATGGCATAACAGCCTCCTTTTCTAAACCAAAGAGGCTGGCAGAGGTCTTGGTGTCTGATTTTTATCAAGTCTTGGACCTCTTCTGTACAGTCATATGAAAATATTTGGACACTGCCGCTCAGAAAAGATATATCTGCACATACTACAAAATTGAATGCATAATTACTTTTTTTTTTAAATGACCAAATAAAAATAAAAAGTCCCGCGATACATAGAGGGAGAACAACTGACCTGCTAAGGACTTACGTTTTCATATTGCTGTAGTGCACCAGTCCACACCAATTAATTTTGTCTGGTGATATGGGAACACCTTTTACTTACCGGTTTGCAATGTAGCAGAAGTATTCTCAAACCAACCCCTCTTTTTTCGCTCCTATATATAGCGCCCAATGTTTAAAGCGTCAATACTTTATCACTGCCATCAACCAGATGACTGTGTGTGGCTTTAACATATTGAGTCACAGGCCTGTGACAAGCATGGAGCCTGTGGAGTCTGAACATTCAATTGCCATATATGTTCCAGGTCAGAGGCTGAAAAGTACTGAATCCATTGGATCATTATGACTGCCTGGCAACTAGCCTTTATTATTATCAGGGATGCACCAATACCGGTTTCACGGTATCAATTAGGAGTACAGATATTTTTTTCGGTACTCGCTGATACCGAATACTGATACTGGAAGTGCCATTAAGGAAGTGTAATGACTCGCCACCTGGCTTCCTGATTAGCCGGGAAGCCGGCTCCATGCTCCTTTGTTACCAGGTGACGGGGAAGCATGGAGCCAGCTTTCTGGCCAATCAGGAAGCCGGAGAGGCGGGTAATCACACCCTGCCTGGCTTGCTCATTGGCCAGCTTCCCGACCAAATCAGAAAGCCAGCCGGCGAACCGCCACATGCCACCCAGCTTCCTGATTCGCTGGGAAGCTGGCTCCATGCTCCCTCGTCACCAAGTCCCAGGTAGCTGCCTCCACCGCCCAATCAGGAAGCTGGGGGTGAGTCATTATCCACCCTCCGGCTTCCTGATTGGCCAGGAAGCCAGCTTTACCACTCTCCCGGGTGATGAGGGAGCATGGAGCTGGCTTCCCAATACCAGAAGTTTTGGTATCGGGATAAGTAACAGGAGCATTTGTGTGAGTATGAGTACTTGCCCAAATAATCAGTATCGGTGCATCCCTAATTATTATACAGGATTTATATAGCTCCAACAGTTTGCAGTTACTTATCTTGTCTCCTGAGTTGTCCACCACTGCTGGTCCTCTTTCAGGTTGAAAATTGGGCTGTGAGCTCAGGGAGTCATGGACACCTCCTGGGGCACAATACCACTTCTATCTGGGTTTACAGTACAATACTGTGGAGAGTGGTGCTGAGAATATGACATCAGCACCGTTCTGCAGTACTGAAGATTGTCCAGTGTTGCTGCAGGTAGAAGAGGAATATCATGCAACTGGCCAGAAGACCCCAGAAAATACGGTGTGGGAGGTCTTTTAAAAAAAATTGGAATATTGGTTTAAGTAACATGTCAAAGGGCAAAGATCTTCTATTAGTTAGCCCCAAACACTAAAAGTAAACGCATCCTATTAACATACCTTTGTGAGAGTCATTTGTATGGTCACCAGACAGCAGGCAGAGATTCTTCACAGCTTGGTATGTGCCACTGCTAACATTTTCAGCCTCAATGATGTTCATCATGACCTGGTTAGCTATACTCAGCAGTTCTAGGCCAGAATCAGGGTCACTGCAGATTCTGTAGTACAGTTTATAGAGGGTACTCCGCCACACGCCATCTCTTAGCAGCTCCGCCACTACCAGGGAGTGGGGTACAATGCAGCTTTCCAGCCAGCGCAGAGTGTTTTTGAGATCGTGTGTGTTTAGTTCAACTTCACCTTCCACTTTTACTATCCACTTGGCTACCATACAGGCAGTGGCATGCACTAGAGCACCACTGTTAATTCTCTTTTCCGTCTCCTCGTCCTTTTCGGGGGTCTCTTTTGCCTGATCTGGAGCTTCTCCTGCAGAGGTGTAGGGAAGGGTGGGTAAAGTGGGTTTCCAGTGTATCAATACAGATTTCACATGATTCCTGGTCTCCTCTAGATGGGACGCATTCTGCTGTTCCAGGACTTCCTGCTGTACAGCCTCAATTCTCTTCCTTTGATGCCTGGGGCCTGGCTGTCTGAATTTCTCTTTAATGGTACCTGAGGAATAGGATTTAAACACAGAATTACTAGCAGTTAATCAACAGAGGTTTTACTTTTCTCGATTTCCTGTAACATCTGAGCTCTCATTCTCCAAAAAGACTAAACAACCCATTAGAAAGCAATAATGAAAACAGCAGCTGACCTAATTGCAACAGCAACCATACAAATTCCCTATGACTATGCACTCATCTCATGACACCCACATAGAAAATAACTCAAGTAGGCTAGACTGTGGTAGGCTGTCCCTCGGATCATCACTGCAGCACCAAATGCTCCCACAACCTAATGTCCTTTAAGCTGTCATATACAAAACACTCAAGGCTTAAAGTGATATTAAAGTCAGAATGTTTTTAAGCCATTTAATATTTGCTACAAGACACGGCTAATGGAGGCACCCGTGCTGGCTTGTGCATCCAAAGACACGCATATCCTTGCGGCAGGCCACACCCCTCCTCTCCGCCCAACAGGTTGATCCATGGCAGAAAGAGCCTATGGCTCCTCTGCCATCAGTATCCTCCCCATGCAACCAGGAAGTTCGGGGAATGGAGGGTTGCTTCGGGACCGGCAACAGGGACGAGCGTCGCTGACAGGTACATGTGGGGCGACAGGAGGAGAAAAAAGGTACAGGACGTTTATGTTAATGCAGAGAATGCATTAAAGCAAAAAACAGCCAGACCCTAATACTACTTTAATGCTGCTGCAAACTGCAATTTTATTTTGTAGTTTTAGACAGAGTGGTGCAGGGTTAGAACCCTGATCAGGTATTTTTTCTTATTGCTGTGTCCTTGTTGTTGTCCTTTTTAGGAGATTGAGGGTAGCCATATGCTAAAAATGTGGCTAATTCCTCTGAATCGGCCGAAATGCAAACCACAGGTGGCCCCGCCAACACCACCCAGCTCAACAAACTTCAATTAAAAAATCAAAAGAGGTAGACGTAAGACAAGTAGGCTGAGCAGTGACGGCAACCAATCAGCTATGGGCGCTGGCTGCCGTCATACAATAGTCAGCAGGGAAGATTCATCTAACCATGCTGTTTAGTGTGGATGGGGGAACCCAGCGATTTCTCTTGTTCAGCCCAGTGTGTATGGCCAAGCTGTACTCTCTGACCCATCCATACTCCCTCCCTGCTGCAGCAGTTCCCCCAGCATAAGCTCCAGTGTTGAAAGTCAGCTGGGTGGATGATGTCACAAGCCTCCCATGTGACAGTGTTCGGGCCTAACAACTGACCCATGAGACTTGGATACTGTCAAATGAGGAAGGTCACATGCTCCCGCATACCTCGAAACCTGCTCCATTAGGGGAACAGACCGATGGTTCTGATTGAGCCGGGAAGCAGCAAAAGAGCGCAGGTAGTAGGAGAGCTGTCTACATCCTCCTGTACATCTGATGTCAGGTCTTCTTGATTGGAAATGTCATAAGAGGTACAGGGACAACAGCAACTTCTGCAATCCCTAATGGGGCCCCCTTCCACCCCCAGGCCCCATAGCAACTGCATGGGCTGCTATGATTATTGTTATGCCACTGCATACTCCGAGGTCCTGCTCCATTACGGCAACAGACCAATGGTTCTGATTGAGCTGTGTGGCAGGAAAGGTGTGCATATGGGCGAGTATAAATATCAGCAGACACTGTCCCTGCCCTAAATGGACAAAGGGACAGGCTCTCTTGATGTAGAATATTTGGGCAGCAAAGGGTCCTTGAAACATATATTGCAATTTTGGCATCTATGTTAAAAGGATAAAAACAAAAGAATCAATTAGGAGAAAGAAAAACCATGAAAATTCAGTGAAATGTATAATTGTCTCCAGCAGTGAAAGATTCCATGACGGGTTTACTGAAAATAGAGCCAATCTTTTTTTAGCTCCTTATTGATGGCGCTTCAGTAGAACACGAAGAAACACATTTAAAGTTGTTTTGCTTTTAATTGATGAATAAATCAATTCAGAAAGAATCTTTACTGTCAGTCCACATCCTGTTCACAGCACATGTCTCCTTTCTTATCGCTAAACCATCTGAATTCAGAGTAATTACATCTTACATAAATGGGAGAACAAATATCAAACTCCTCACTGCCAGCCTTGTCCTATTACAATTCATGAGTGGCAACCATTCAAGACCTCACCCAGTACTCCAGGGACAAGAAAACCATGGCATGAATGAAGGAGCCATGATGAGACCCAAAGCACCCCCTCCCTTATGGCAGTTTGTGAAAGAGAATTGCTCATTATTGGTCTTTAGAAAGAAGGTTAATATTAGGTCCTTAAGCCGTACCGAAGTCAAAACTTGCCTGTGAAGGTTCTCATTCATCCACGTCATGATATAGCTGTAAAAAATAAATCAAGGCAACTGGACTTCCTGTATTTTTCTTGAAGACGTTTCACTGGTCATCCAACCAGCTTTCTCAGGTCAAAAGGACTTTGGGACTAAATATGGTGAATGCTGCTCCAATCAACATAACCTGTTTATCATAACCCGCATGGGGTCAGAGACCTCATGGAGGTAAGGTGTTGATTACATTTGCATGATTTGAGCTGCCCAGAGAGGTGTTAAAACAGCATTGTAAGAAGTCAAAACTGTTTTTACTTTTGGATATAGTAAGAGGGGGTTATAACCCCTGCCAGCTTTTTCATTTCCGTGTCCTATTGGGGAGATTTCCTTATTTCCTGTCCAATAGCCACAAGTGAGAGGAAATCCCTCCAAACTGAGAAAAATCCCTTCTGGTCACCAGAACTAGTGTCCCTATTGGACGATTTCCTATCTATTCCTGTTCTGATGACAATGCATCAAAACACTTTCACTTTTAGGTATAACAGTCACCAGGACATATATTGGGGGTGAATCTCCCTAATGGGGACATAGACGGCAATAAAAACGGGTGTTCTAATCCCTCTTTCTTCTATCCAAAACGTAAAATAAAAGAGTTTTGGCTTCAGTTGCACTGACGCTGAACTTCATGCAAACAGCTAAATAAATCAGTGAAATAAATATATAGGAGCTGTTTTACCCGCCAAGTGATTTCTATCCATTCCGTTCTCAAATGTACATGCTCCTGCCACACCGCGCAGCCCCATCTGAAAGAGCAATAAACCTGATTTTGCGCAACTTTTACAGGTCTTGCCCCTCCCCCAGTCTGTGATTGGACAATGAAAGGAGAAGTAGCAGACGGATGAGCACATCTCTCAGCGTGCTTCCTTCCACACTGGGAGCTCATTCTGCTGCTCCCAGTGTGAGCTATGCTGTACAGGGACTGAAAGAACCCATTGAGTCAAACATAGGTACCTGCATTGCTGGAATGTAAAAACTACATTTAATGATGGAGACCATACTTTGCGGAAGGTATCTAGTCTGGGTATTAGGCTGTATGACATATGTTACAAGACTTGATCTTCTCTATCAATAGTTGTATAGCTTTACTGCAATATTTCTACAAACCGGCTCTTCTACATCTGGCCACTGCACACATATGAGCTAGATAAGTGCATGTAGCGCCTGTGTCATCAGTTTGACATCAGTCAGGGATACTTGAGACCATTCAGAAGTCATGCCACCCCTCTTCCCTCACCAATCACACTCGTAATAGCTTAAACTTACCTGCAACTCCTACTACAATCTATTACACTATCTAGAACAGAGAGATGAGCGAGGACAAAATGACAGATAACTTACTTATAAGTTCTTTGACTTTGTACTCTTTGGCCAGTGTGCCGAGTCTCTCTTGCAGCTCAAGGTCTCTCTCGATGGTGCTCCACTTGTGCAGCAGGAGTAGGGCATTCTTGCTTGAAAACACTTGCTCGTTAACAGCAAACCTACCCATTTCCTTAAAGGCTGTCAACACATGTGAGCGGTACCGCAGAACTGAGCTCAATGCACAGAAATACTGGAGGTGGTGGGTGCTATCCAAATTTGTCCTGTCATGGGAAGAAAATGAAAATAAATGCTGTAGAAGATGCCACAAATGTTCCTTGTGCTTCTAATTGAACTCAAATATAAAACAAGTATGTGCACAGGGGGTTCAACAAACTAGAAATTGTACAATTACTTTTATGATTACAAAAAGGAAACCTCTGGATTTAAAAAACCCAACTCCAGCCAAAAGGCCAGGTGTGGAGGCGTGATGGCATCCTTCATGTCATCACCATGTTCTCCTGTGATGCCAATAAACACATCACATTTGTGGTGTGGGTACATACTAGTGATAGATGTGCATATTCCTTCATCTTCTACCACAGTCTAGATCAGGGGTAGGCATCCTTTGCACTCATGCTTTTATGGAACTAAAAGTCCCATGAGCCACTGACAGCCACAGGTTTGACACCCAGACACATGATAGTGTTTGCAGTTTCTTGATGAGGTTGCCTACCCCTGGTCTAGATAATATCATATATGAATTTCAAACCAAACCAAAGTACCAAGCCACGGACTTTTAACCTATAAGGCTTAGTAGGCGAGGCTGTAAGAAGAACTACACACCCGGGACATATTAGTTGCTGCCATCTGTAGCATTGAGGTTGCCCATCACCGCTCCAGAGTGTGAGACATACTAAAAGTTACAAAAGATGCTCACAGACCACCAAGACTGATTGCTGGTGTCATATGGGTCAGATGTGAGGCTAAAATGCAGAAGCAATGCTGACTTGATTGAATTACCTGTTTAACGTCATGCAGCACAAAATTAAATGTCTACGGTGTTCAGGTACAATGAGTGATATATCGCATGTGAGTCTCTGAGCATGAAATCCTCTAAGACAGGAGAGCACATTTTTTTTTTTTTACTAGGAATATGTTTATGTTATGTTGTGTAAATCTATACAAGTAGATCTACAAGTACATATCCCTTTAAGGCTACAAGCACACCAGCAGCTACACCTGTACAATGTAAATATCAATGTATTTTCCCTGCCAGTGACTGACCGCGGGTATGTGCTGCTATTTGCATACAGCCGCATATGCGTACAGACTGAAACCACACACACTGTAAACCTGAGCCAGGGATTTAAATCTGCACACATATGTGGCTGTATACAAGTTTCAGCATATACCTGCCTACAGCCATTGACTTCTATTGGAGGCTGTATGCAACACCTGTGGCTTCCTGGCAGAGGGAAATATGTTGATACGTTGTACTGGTTCAGCCGTCCGTGTGCATGAGGTCTTAAACTACAGCAATATATAGCTGGGACCACGATTGCCTGTAATAGAGAGTTTAATGACAAAGACAGACATGGATGAGCAGATAAGGTGCAAAGCACGCCGTACACACCAACAAGCCTTCCACCATTATGAATCAGGCCGAGGTGTGACTTTTCCAAGATGCCAGCAATTCAATTAATTTCCAAAGTGAATTTACCCCTCCTCACTCTTGCTTCATTTAAACCTTTACTGTGACTTGCAGAATTCAAGTATTTAAATATTTTGCACACCATTGATTTTGCTCTAATGCGAACAAAGCCAACTGGAGAAAGTTCCTCTCACAGAAAATATAAAGTACAAATATATTACATTTGTCCCAAAAGACATCTCGATGAAGGTAAAAAGCAAGAAAGCCACCTACCTCATGTGTCTGAGCAGAACCATCAAAACTCCAAAGATCTCATTCACTAGATGGATGGGAAGAAACTTCTCATGCTCTGCCGGTCCATTCGGCTTCTTCTCTTCTTTTGATTTGGTCTTCTCTTTCTTCCCCAAGTTGGTTAACCATAAATTGGTCACTAATGTTATTACACTTCCCAACGTTTTATTCTCAACATACCTAAAGATTAAAATGTAGACTACTTAACCAGAATTATTAAGTAACACTGAAGGACTTCATGAAAGCTGTAACTTTCCATTACAGTAACACAATGCATTCATGCAAAGCATCAGCTGTGTGAGTATCATTGTCCCACCATTTAAATATGACACTAAACTGCGTGTAACAACTCAGATATAATTATTTGCGGTGTATGTTTGGAAACCTTCCACTGCCAATACATTGTACCCACATCCTCATTTTGTAGGTAAACTTGAAGTTTATGAACTAAAGATGCGGCTTGATAGCATGCACTAGGGATGCACCGATACCGATACTATTATCGGTGCCGATACCGAGTATTTGGGCGAGTACTAATATTCGCCGAAATGCTCCAATGCCTACCGCGATACCCGAGCTTCTGGTATCAGGAAGCCTGGGCAGCGAGTCATTATATGCTGCACAGCTTCCTGATTGGCTGGGAAGCCTGGTTCATGCTCACTCGGAAGGTTGGCAAATCAGGAAGCCAGACGGTGAGTCATTACCAGCCCCCTGGCTTCCTGATTGGCCAGAAAGCTGGCTTCATGCTCCCTGGTCACCAGGGAGCATGGAGACGGCTTCCCGGCCAATCAGGAAGCCGGGTGCCGTGTAATGACTCGCTGCCCGGCCTCCTGATTGGTCGAGAAGCTGGCCAATCAGGAAGCCAGGTGACAAGTCATTACACGCCGCCTGGCTTCCTCAATGGGACTTCCGGTATCAGTATTCGGTATCGGCGAGTACCGAAATAAAATATATCGGTACTCGTACTTGATACTGAAAAAACGCTATCGGTGTATAACTGTGTATTGATGAATTCACGGCTGCATTCATCTGCCTGAAGTTCAGTTTTAACTTAAAAGTTTTTAGTACCACACAGATTTAATTTACATAACAGATTTAAAAGCCTCCTAGAACAGATATCAGAGGCTCCTTAAATGGGTATTCCCTTTCATCAACAAATATGAAACAGGTTTGTAAACGGACTCATACTGAATGACTTTTTTCAATATTCTGAACCTTCAGAAACCAAATGCACTTGAAATATTATGTATGCGTTACAATTATCACTGCAGGACTTGTTTTGGAAGCAGATTGTAGCATATATACCTCCATCTCAACCAACGTACCTTTTCTCCAGAATGTTCTGTATCCAGGACAGCAGGCTGTGGTCTCTTGTAAGCTCATAGGCTGCCTTTGGCACTTTGGAGGCCTTCATAAGAATTTCCAGAACCAGATTCTGTTACATAAAATGTAACAGAAATTAGATACAACAACGTAATAAATCTATGCAGAGAGAGCAACTAAAAGCAATAGGGATGATCACGAGCGAAGTGATAGAAAAGGAGAAAAGAAAAGAACACTAAAAAAGTAATACACTGGGAAAGAAAGATAAGTGCAGGGGAAAAAAATGCATAGGATGAAAAGAGATGGAAACGTAGTGACAAGAAAAGAATTGCATGAGAAGAACACAGTGGAGTGAAATAGCAAATTAAGAATTTGCAAAGCAAAAAGAATAGGATGGTCAGCAAAAGAAAATGGAAGATAAGGAAGTGAGGAAGAAATGTGAGTGAAAAATAACAGAGAGAAGCAGAGATGGAATAATCAGAATGGAAATAAAAATAAAAGGCGGGAAAGAATAAGGAAAACAGGGAGGAGAAGGAAAAGGAGAGGTAAGAAAGATAAAAGGAAGAAAAATAAAATATGAGAAGGGATAGAGAAGAGAGAAGGTGAAGAGAAAAGAAAGAAGAAGAAGAGCATGAGAAGGAACACAGACAAGAGAAGGAATGGAAGGAAAGAGAAGGATAAAAGTAAGAGAAAGCCAACGAGAAGGGATAGAGAAGAGAAGGAGAAGTGAATGGAAGCAAAAAGAAAAGAAGATAAGGAGAAGAAGCATAGGGGGGAGTCAAAAGACGGGAAAAGAGGTGAAAAGGGAGGAAAGAGAAGAGAACCAGAAGAAGAAGTACAGAACAGAAGGTTAAGAGCAGGAAAGGAGAAGAGAAAGTAAAGAGAAATAGACAAGAAGGGGATGGATAAGACAAAAGCAAAAGATAAGGAGGATAGAAGGAAAAGAAAAGGAGAAGAGTAGGGGAAGAAAAGGGAAGGGGAAGAGAAGAGAAGGGGAAGGGGAAGAGAAAGAAGAAAAGGGGAAGAGAAAAGGAAGTTAGCTCAACAGAAGATAAGAAGGTCAAGATAAGAAGAGAGAAAAAACAATTTTAATGAGCATGTCCTCCATTTCAAACAAGGATAACACATCAGAAATCTTACTTGAGATGTTTCATCACTCAGATGGCTGTTATAAAAAGCCATAATGACCATAAATATCCTCTGGTAATCATAGAGCTCATAGCAATGCTTGTCCCTCATTCCATCACTCAGCAATCCCAGAATCCATTCACGCTCCACCTTGTGCTGTTAGGACAAACACATGATTCTGTGACAATGTACCTGATGTGTGTGTAATCAGACATGCAGACAATAAACAGCCACTGACCTCTGTGTCAAAGCTGTAAAACAATCTATAGAAGTCCGGAACTTTCTTCAGATCCAGGTACTCGTGAGACAGAAGGAAGCGGTTCACCTTTATGTACATGTGTTCATCTGTTGTGGAAGAGAAAAGGGAAGGCCAGGTTGAAGTAATTTAACCTTCACCATGTCAGCCCTTTACAGCCAATATACAAGAACAAATTAAAAGCTTACCAGGTCTGAGGATCAGCTGGGCGACCCTGGCACCATACAGCCCCAGTATGTAAGCGAGCCGGAGATTCTCCTGCCGAATTCCATTCTTTACAACATCCAGCAGATACTGCAGCTGTGCAGGAGGAAACGTTGAATGGATTATTCATCTTCAAAAAGCTGTTTACTGGTACTAGTAGCAAATAGGGAGGACAGATAGAAATAGTCTCTACACACCTGAGACTTGCAGGCCATTATAGTTTGCTCATCCAATATGGTATATTGGCTGTCCTTTATCCTAACAGGTGTATAACCAGAGCTAGGCAGCTCCAGACACCAAGCCTGGTCATTTTGGCCCATGCAGGCTGTGGTAATTTTTATTTCATAAAAGAGACCCCGTCACCCACTTAAAGTGCAGATAAAAGCACAAAAACATATTTTTAGTGCTTACTTGCAGTGCTTCTCATTTCTATAACTTAATTTTTATTCACTTGTAAGGTGACTTTGAACTTGCTAGAAAAAATCTGACTACTCCAGGACAGTCAAATCCCTAGCAAAACCCCTCCCTCTTCTTGCACGTCATAACCTTCTCCTCTCCTGGAAGTGTACAATTATTCTTTGTGCTGGCCCGGCTTCACTGTCCTTCTCTTCATCTCCCATACATAATCATCCATGCAGCTGCAGGGGAGGGACTGAAGGGGAATGCTATAGAGTATCACTTGAGTAACAGCCCCGAGTCTGCTGGGGTTGCCTACATCACACCCAAAATGGCGGCACACAGCACCAGTATTAGGTGTTTTAGATGTCTACACAATGGAGGCTTTTATAGGTAAATAAGAATGAAATACATTACATGCACATATAATCTTGTGGGAATATTTTAGTTAAACTGAATGTCCTGACAGAGACTCTTTAAATCAGTGGTCTCAAAGTACCGGCCCGCGTGCCAGTTGCGGCCCGGTACTATGTGGCCCGCAGCCAGCTCACAAGTCTGGTACGCGGCCACAGACCGCGTACCAGACTTGCGGGAGCAGCTACATCTCTGTCGGATGCAGACCGCATAGCTGCTTCTGTGTCGGCACTCGGATCCTTTCGGCCGGCGACTTCGCTAAACGCTGGCCGAAAGGATTGATTAGATTAGTAAGGTCTGCAGCAGACATTACTAATCGCCACTAGATGATCGTGGCTCACAGCCTCCTCCCTGCAACAAGGTAAGCAGGAGAGGGGGGGTGTGCGGTAGGGGGGAAAGACTGGGAATTATATTGTTATATCCTAGGTAAAGTCCCACAGATTCAGCAGACCTAAGTGCTGCCAACTGCTCACCTGCTTCTTATCTCGAAAACGAGCTGCTTCCAAGTGGGAGATGAAGGACCCCAAGACGTAATTGGCTGCCGCTCGCATGCTGTAATCGTAACTACTGAGTGCTGCCAGGGTCAGACCTAAAGCGTTGACCTCCACGAACTTCACACAATCCACAACCAGCTCTGCAGTAGACAAAGGACAGAAAGAGTAATGATACATGATGAATCATACTGGATTTTGTTTGCCTACCTACCCACAGATGCTAGATAATAATCTCATCTATAAACAAACTTTTCTCTTCCAGGAAGCTGTTTTGTAAAAGATAGACCTGAATGTGTCAGAAGAGGGACACACACCCCTCTACCGATCTGCAGAGACAGAAACATCTTAAAGTGACACTAAACTCAGGCGTCAAATCCTAAAAATACATTCCAGTACCTTAACTATTCCCAAAAATGTATCTTATTTGTGTATCACTCGGCTATAGATCCTCAAATCTCTGAATTGGTGCTGACACTGCCCTTCCTTCTGGAGGGGGGCTACTTTTGTTCCCCATGGTCCCTGTGTGTGTTGTAAAGTAGTCACCTCTCCAAGCTCACTCCTGTGACAATCTCAATACAAACTAGTAAATTGAACATGAGATTGTAGTCCATCACAGGAGCGAGCTTGGAGCGGTGACTACTTTACAACACACACAAGGGCCATGGGGGACCACTGCAAACTCACTCCTGTGATGGACTACAATCTCAGTACAAATTAGTAAACTAAATATGACATTGTAGTCCATGACGGGAGTGAGCTTGGAGCAGTGGCTACTTTACAACACACACAGGGACCATGGGGAACAAAAGTAGCCCCCCTCCAGAAGGAAGGACAGCGTCGGCACCAATTCAGAGATGATTTGAGGATCTACAGCCGAGTGACACACAAATAAGATCCATTCTTGTTAATAGTTAAGGTACTTGAATGTATTTTTAAGATTTACCTCCTGAGTTTAGCGTCACTGTAAAGAGAATCAGTTTGCCTCTTCACTGACCTCCCTCACCGCTCAGTTTGTCTGTTAAAGCTCTCGAAAATATCTACTAGTTGTGGGTATGGGAGACCATCTGAATTTCTATCCTTAGTCCCAAGATGCAATTCTTGGACCCAAGCAGCCAATTGCCAGGCCTGAAAAATGTTATGTGGGTACGATAAAGTCATTATTCCTTGGAAAGCGCCAATATTCACTGTCAAAAGGAGATTACCCAGGGATTAAAATCAGTGATCCAACAGATGAACAAGAGCAGTGTGGAAGCTTAACCTCTTGCCGTCCGCAGTAGAAAAACGGACGGACGGCACTGTCGCATTGGCGGGATTTTTTTTCTGCTCGCGCGCGCCCCCTAGCGGGCACGCACGGGCAGAAAAGACCCGTCCAATGCGAACACCCGGTACCGGGTGTTTCACATATAGGCGATCAGCGGGTCCATAGCCCGCCGATCGCCTATATGTGCTCGTTTGCGTCCGCATTCACCTGTCAGTCATCTGACAGGTGATCCCCCTATATAATAGCAATAACGATGAGTGCAAAAAAATTAATACAAATAAAAATAAATAAAAGTCACATATAAAAAAGTAAAATAAAATAAAAGTCAGATATAAAAAAGGGGAAAAAAAACCCCAAAATGTTTAACTCCCCCACCCCCACGTTTACGCGCCTATAAACGTAAATACGCGTCCGGTGCCCCAGCGTGCAAAAATGACAATTGCGCTACACATGTTACATATCGCCGCGAACGTCGCAGTGAGAGCAATCATTTTAGGGCCATCAATCACTGATAACACTAAACTGATGAGCGGTAACAGCTTTTAAAGCGTCGCCTATGGCCAATTTTGTATTATCTTGTTTTTTGCGGTTTTGCGCGCGCACGCAATTTTAAGGCTTGACATTTTTGGTGTCTTTTTACCCGACGTGACCCCGTCTTTTATATTTTACCAAAAAATTGGGTAATAATAAATGTTTTATCATTTAATATAGGGGAAACTGTTTTTTTTTTTTAATTTCGGTAATTTTTCCTTAATATAGTAAAAAAATAAAACCCCCAGTGGTGAATAAATACCACCAAAAGAAAGCTCTATCTGTCCCCAAAAAAGGGTATAAAATTCATTTCAGTACAGCGCTGCATGACGGAATAAATGTCAGTCAAAGTACCGCAGCGCTGAATACTGAAAAATGGCCTGGATGGGAAGGGGGTTTAACACCGCGGATGTCAACTGGTTAAAGATGATGCTGGGAGGACTGAATAAACACCACTGCCATTACTGTTATAATCATGTTTATTGGAAGAGCTACAAAACTAAGACGCTATCTGGCCAAAACATCCACCCTGCCGAGTGCATCTGATGTTATTGCCACAGTCCATAATTGCCTTCTTCGGCTTCAGGTTCTGAGAAAATTGCAGGTATAGGACAATGATTGTCTAACATTTGTAAGTACCTTTTGAAAAAATAGATATGTTGAGATGAAAAGAAGGAAAAGAATGCAATAGAGTCCTATCAAAGCCAAGATACAAGAAAAGCATTCAAGATGTGGATCTCTGATGCAAAGCATAATTTACACGGTGTCACAGGCACTCTGTCATTCAAGGTTTTTCAAACACAGTGGAAGAGCACAAGGCCAGACTGAGTTATTGGAGTGACTCATCTTCTCCGGTCTGACGTCAAAAAGACACGGCAACCTTCTCCAAAAATAAACGCATTCATTATATAAAACATCAATAGGAAGGTCAGTTGCACCCTTTAGCTACGAAATCAAAATGCAACCAAGCATATGTATTGGTAACAGAATCTCCACTTACATAACATATATAATATACACTTATCAAGTTTTATATTTATGATTTCTCTAAAAATTCTTTTGATTAGTATTAACCACTTAAAGGCCATAGTGTTTCACCCCCTTCCTGGCCAGGCCATTTTTCAGTATTCAAGGTTAATAAAATGACAACCAGCAGACAGCTATGATTTTCTGAAACATTTGAAATGTCTTTCTTGTACAGATGCGTTCTGTATTGTAGAGAAGTCCCCCCCAGGTATGTTGTCTCATGATCATGTGACTGCCTCTCTTCTGGAACCAGCCGATTGTTGTTTTCTGGTCATGTGATTGGCTCTCCAATGTAACCAGTCGACTGTCATTTCCTGACCAGGTGATTGCCTCCCTGCAGTTACCAGTTTATTGTCATTTCCTGATCATGCGATTGCCTCCCTGCTGTAAGCAGCCAGTGTGTAGATAAGCCTTGCAACCGTTTTACCCTGGAGTAGAGCTGCAACGACGGATCGATAGAGAAATTTTTAGTTTCTTTTTAGATCTCAGGGAACCTCCACTATGAATGATTATATTTACAGCTGACAGGGTGATCAGTAAGTTGTACATGTATTGATAATATAAACGACAAAGACCATTGTGTACCTAGAGTATCTGATACCCAGGGCAGATCATTTTTAGACCCCATACATTGATGGTCAATGGAAAAGTGCCACTTTATATTGGTGGCCTGTGGGAGTGAAAAGGACTCCCTAGCATAGGAAGAATCACCCACAATACAAGAGATATTGACCAAGCAACTACGCAGGTACCATCAGAGCGAAGATCAATCCCCTAATGCGCAAGGGACCCTTAGCAACTTCTGGAGGAACCCTTAGTGCTCCATGGGACCCTAGTTGAGAATGGCTGGTGAAGATCAGTTACCTGGTCTGAGCAGCTCACTGAAGAGAGGTAACAAGAAGCAGGGATCGTAAAGTTTCCCAAGGTCATCTATTGCCCGGTCTTCATATAACGTGTTCTTCCCAGTCTGAAATAAAATATTTTATGGGTACATCAGTGCTTTTGAACAAGGTCACAACACAGGCACTGAAATCACAGCTTTTCCCTATGAAGATCTTGACAGCCTAGCAGCCCTCTAATGTAAACACACACTAGGTGCTTCTAAGATGCTAGAAACAGATTAAAACCAGACTTTAGAGTCTTTGTTATGATCTTTGAGAATGAATTATTTCACAGTACATTTAGCTAGAGAGGGAAGAGCTTTTTTAAATCTGGCATACAGGTGCATAAACAGGGACACATCACAAAAATACCTAAAAAGTACTGAAATAATATGCAAAATTCTAGTTTTCCGATAAAAGTTCAGCTTGGATACGCCTTGCCTCACTGAGCTTTTTCTTGAACCTTCCTAGCTTCCTTATTGCCCAGCGTCACATAAAAAGTTGAGCATATAACTCTAAGTACCGCCCTCCTGTCCCCGTACTTGTAAATTGGAGCTAACCCCCCCACCCCAAAAGAGTGGAGTATCATGATTCTGCATGGAGTTAAAATAATTAAATCATTTGTTTTAATTAAATTCAAAATCATTCTGACCAAGGACCCAATGCTTAGATATGGAATCCAAAGAGAAACACAAATCCAGTATTTCTCACGGCCCAAGCTGGGTATAGGAAGGGAGTAGAAGCCTGGGCCGTGAGAAATACTGGATTGTGTTTCTCTTTGGATTCCATAACTAAGCATTGGGTCCTTGGTCAGAATGACCCATTTCATCATCGGATATTTATGTGGGACTGCAGCTTCTTATCTTTTGAGTCTATTTAGTACAGCCTCCATTTCGGAGCAGTGTGAAGCTGTGCAGAATTTCTTATTACGACACCAAGACTGATCAGGAGGTTATGGCAAAGGCTAAAGTCCCTGTAACATATATAGCTTTCCCTAGAGTGGAGAGTACCTTAAAATATGGAGAATCCCTTTATATTACATTGGGCTTCATGACCAATCAGGTCCAGCACAAAGATGGCTACAAAACTTTCATAAACTACTTTGAGTAAAAGAAACATCGGTCACATTCAGATGTGAACAGTTAAACTGATCTATCTAGGTGGACCAAACGTAGCAATGATTGCCTCATCCACTAGGTAGAAAGTCTATGATGCAGTTCAGTCCCTTGTGCCTACGCAACTCTGTTTGAAAGCCCAATCTAAGGGCCAGGCTTTGATGTGAACACATATATGCCAATTAACAAGCCCGTGTTTGCTGATTCACTCTATGACTCAGTGGCTATTCCAACCACTCTGATATGGACACTGGGAAGGGTAGCTGCACATAATCAGCAGTTATTTTGTTTTCTTATTAACAGCAATGAATCAACAATCATTTTACAGATATAAAACCCCTGTAAAATTTTACCTCTGCAGCAGGTGTAATACAATGGCTGCACTACGCTAAAATTGCAAGTATTTCTCTGTGTAGTCTGTACTTGCCATCTGATGCAAGCCAGAGCATTTATATGCAGCCCAAACACTCCACCTCCGACCCTCTTCAGCTGCCTGAAATAGGAGACTGCCTATGGCCCTTTCCATATATGCAGCAGCATGGCTAGTGGCCCTGACACCTGGCTGCTGCATATATGCATCCATGGGGCTCCGTTATGTGCGGATCTCACACTAATTGAGCGGTCTCAGACAACTCCCTGTCACCAAAAATGATTGGGAGGCAGCTGAACGGGACCTTATGTGTCCACTGTGACAACCTTTAAGAAACAGAGGTCTTGCTGCACTCCTTACCCGAGAGAACCCGTATGGGTGGGTGCTTGTAGTGACCACGGACGGCACCGTGTATACCACAGAAGAAGAAAATAATGTCACCGGCACACCGTAGTAATAAATCAATAATTCATTTAATGGCACATTGCCATTCAATGCAAGCGCTTTCGGGGCCTCAGGGGGTCCCCTTGATCAGGCTCAGAATGACACATCACTTACAGATTCATCAACTTTATATAGACATCACTGTGACAACCTATCACGGCACAAATGGAAGAAGGGTCACCAGTACTCCATGATAAAGAAATCAGTGTAAATTTACAAAGCGTCACCTAGGTCAACATTTCAGGGCCACACATGGTCTCTTCCTCAAGGTATTAGTATCATAGGTCAATGTGTCATTTTAAAGGAAGGGACCTTGCATGGGACCGAAATGTTGGCTCTTTGACCTATAAGTCGCTATGTAAATAAATCTACACTGATTTCTTCATCATGGAATGCTGGTAAACCTTCTTCTGTTTGTGATTTGTTACAAAACGGCACCATCCGTTGCTTCACTACAAGCACCCTCCTTTGTTATTTTGGTGGGAATGCTGTATGCGGTGTAGTTTAGAACTATTATATAGCCAATCACATGATCAGGACTCCCCCTCCTGATGTCAAGACCCAGTTAAAGGGCTGGTGGCACGGAGTTAAAAAATAAATTATTGGTGTGTGTGTCTAGGACATGGTTTACTGTGTAAAGCAAGGGTGGGCAACTTTGGCCCTCCAACTGTGATGAAACTAAAAATCCCATGATTTTTAGTCC